CTGGCACCTCCACTGGTTCCCACTGGTGGAAATCATCGCCATCGGGGTTGGGATGGCCATAGTACATTGTTCTGCTGTCACATAACCAGTCTTTTGGGCTAGAACTTTAATTTTGACTCTATCATCAGGTTAATCTACTTCTGACCCATACATGTACTTGGAGCAAGTATAAGAGTAAGGACAGGCTTCCTTGGTAGCTCAGTGGTAAAGAATCTGCCTGCCAATGCAGGAGACTCAAGTTCAACCCCTGGGTCAGGAAGATCCCCTGATGAAGGAAATGGCAACCCACTCTAGTATTCTTGTCTGGAAAATCCTATGGACAGCGGAGCCTGGCGGGCTACCGTCTGGGGTTGCAAACAGTTGGACATGACTTGGCAACTCAACAACAACAACAAAGAGTAAGGACATGGGAGCAGATTTGTTTTGATCCCCTCGGCATGGACTTGGTGCGGCCTCCCTAGTCTCAGCCCCACCCTCACCTGGAGATCCTCCGCGAGTTCCCTACTGTTAAGCCACTCTGAGGACTCAAACTTATGAACACTGCTTTGGTACCATGTAGCTCTGAATTTAAATCACAGCTTCACAACAAACATGCTGGGAGATTCTGAAATCATGATTTAAGCTTTCTAAAGTAGAGCTGGCTTCTCTCTAGAATGAAGGTAATCATGGTAACAATATAAGATTGTTCAGAGGAATTACTCCTTCATTCAACATATTTTGAGTTCTCACTATGTTCTAGAGGCTTTATTCTAGCATTGACAAATTCCTACTTTCATATAACAGATATTAGAGGAATAAATGAGTCAGTTAGTGTCTGAAAGGATTAAGCCTGTTGGTGTTTGAAATATGGTTAGAACATTATTTGAAGGGAAGCTAGGAGAAGTGTCCATGGTGTCCCAGGAGCCTCGAATACCCCCAGGGTCCAGGGAAGAGACTAAAGAGAAAGTTCTATTGCCCTAGTCCTCAGAGGAGAAAACTTCTGCCCACTCATTCACCCTTAGACTCTATGGACTCACTGTTGCCCACAAGAGGTCTTAGATCTTATAAGAAGATGCTTAGAAAGTCTCAAAAACAGAGACATCAAGATATATATACATTAAAGCAAGCAAGCAATGCTTAACCTTATGCATAAACACCATGGTGAAGCTTCAGGTGCTGAGACATTTTGCTGAGATATTTGGTGGCAGTAAGCTTTCTAGTGCCCTCAGATCACAGTCACAGAGGAGACAACACCTCTGTGTGTGTGCGAAAGTCGCTGAGTCATGTCTGACTCTTTGCAACCCCATGGGCTGCAGCCCACCAGGCTCCTCTGTCCTTGGAATTTCCCAGGCAAGAATACTAGAGTGTGTAGCCATTCCCTTCTCCAGGGGATTTTCCAGACCCAGGGATCAAACGTGGGTCTCCTGCATTGCAGGCAGATTCTTTACCATTGGAGCCACTAGGGACGCCCCAACAACCTCTCTGCTCCCACATAACAATCCACATAAAGCCAAACCTTGTTTGATGCCTTCTTATTCCAAACAGGACACAAGGCAGCTTCCCTCCCTGGGTCTTCAGGAAACTTAGCCCCCAAAACAGGAAGGCAAACTTACTGGCACGGCAGCCTCTCATTGCACCGGGGGCATCTGCAGGCCAAACTGGGTCACAAACTGTTGAAAATGGAAAAGGACGGGAAGCAGCTCTCCTGACTGACTGCATGTGGTACAGCCTCCCCCGCAGGCTGTGGGCGCGGCGGGGAGAGGGGGAGCTCCTTGCCAGCCCCCTCTGTGCCAGCGGAGTCAGGAGAACGTGGACGAACAGCACGGGCCTTGGACAGCAGAGCAGCGGGAGGATGCACTCGCTTTCGCCTGAGGCCCCATGTTCCACCAGCCAAGGATTTCCAGGGAAATCAAACCTGCCTGGCTGGCTTCCCTGGAAAAGAGAAGAGCCCAGAGACGTGGGCAGAGCTGTCCTGGCCCCCAGCCCCTCAGCAATAATCAAGGTCAGTCCCAAGCACAGGGTTTCAAGTCAGTGCCATGGTATCTATGACAGTACCAGCTGGGGAAGAGCTGTGAGCAATCTGCCCTGTGGTTTATTAGTGATCAGCCGCCCTGGCCGCTGATTCTAAAGGAAACCAACGTTAAAGGAAATCAACCCTGAATATTCACTAGCAGGACTGATGCTGAAGCTGGAGCTCCAATACTTTGGCCACCCGATGCGAAGAGCCGACTCATCGGAAAAGACCCTGATGCTGGGAAAGACTGAGGGCGGGAGGAGAAGGGGACAGCAGAGGATGAGATGGTTGAATGGCATCATCAACTCAATGGACATCGGTTAGAGCAAACTCTGGGAGATAGTGAAAGACAGGGAAGCCTGGCGTGCTGCAGTCTACGGGGTCATGACTAAGAAACTGAACGATAACTGCAACAAGCCTCCTTGGATGGCAGAAAAGAGGGTCCAGATTAAACGACCAACACAACAGACCTCAGAAAGGGGAACCAAGAAGCCACAGAGCTTCCCCCTCAGAGCCTTGGGGTTCCTTCAAAGACCTCTCACATTTTTGCTTGGTTTGAACTTAAATGTTTTCTTTAATATATTAGTTTATGAGGGTTTCATTGATTATCATAAGATAAATGATGTCACTTTGAAAAACATTTTCTCTCTTTCATCATTTTAAATAAAGGGGGTGATACATCAAATGGCAAAAACTCTCCTAGGTTTGGGTTCTTTCTGGGCCCATATATTTTGCAAAATAGATTTTTTCAACTCACTGGAAAGAGACCCAAAATGGGAAAGAAAAATGTAAGGGCTCCCTCTGCTCTTCTTGCCAATTTCCTTGAAGTTGAAAATCCATCTTGCCTGGCCTGACTCAGGCTAATTGCCAAATTGGGTTGCTGTCTCCTCACTTTCCTACTTATTTAGGTTCTTGGATGGTCGCCAGGCCTGGCTCGAAAAGAGCCACAGAGGGGTTGAAATGGGCCTTTGCCTGGGTCGATTCAGTGGGGCCCTGAGGCTACCTAGCCAGCTGTATCCATGGCAACCGTTTGCTCCCAGCAATAAACCCCCATCTCTGCCATCAGGCCCACTGGACAAGGGGGCTCCGTTCAGGGGTCCAGTGGCCAATTGATTGCTTGGCTCCTGCACACTGCTCACCTGTCCCATACTGAGGTTCACAGCCAAACCTCAGCCTACTGCGGTTGGGGAGGAGTTGAAGGCAACTTTTTCTTGAATGCCTTGACTACCATTTCTTTTTTGAATCATTTCCTAAATGCCTGTCAGCTATTCTGAAGACAAAACTGGGGAAACGGCTTCTATTCTGAAGATGTAAGATGGGCTTCCCTGGTGGCTCAGTGGTAAAGAATCTGCCTGCCAATGCAAGAGATGCAGGTTCAATCCCTGAGTCGGGAAGATCCCCTGGAGAAGGAAATGGCAACCCAATCCAGTATTCTTGCCTGGGAAACCCCATGGACATAAGAGCCTGGCAGGCTACAGTCCATGGGGTTACAAAGGGTCGGATGTGACTTAGCAACCAAACAACAAAGATGCTCTTAAAGGCAAAGATTTCAGTTTATACCAAATTTTTGTATCCAACCAGGTGTGACTCCTAGAACCGCTGTGCAGTCAGACTCAGTGCCCTGAACCTGGACCCAGGAAACTTGGATGTGAGTCCAGGAAGCCTCTGGACCTGCAACTAACTTAACCTGAGAGCTGGGTGCCCCGCTCTACCCTCTACAAGGAGCTGTTGCTAAGAGCAGATGAAACCGTGATTCTTTCTAGTGACGAAAGAGTTCAGGAAACAGGACTCAGGACTGAGGCAACCAGGCCCTGATGGTCTTGGAGGTGCAGGAAGAGCCTTCAGGTGGGGACACCCCATTTCCTCCCAGGGCGGGTCTCACACTCACAGCGCAGCTGTGAGCACTCAGGGAAGTCTTCAGTAGAAGCGCTAGAATCATCACCCATGTTTCTAGGAGTGGCGTCACTCCCTGCTCAAAAGTTACCTCTAGTTCCAAACACATCCCCAGCTCTCAGCTTCGGCATGGAGGGCCTGCCCACCCAGGCTTCTGGCCCCCTTGCCATTCAGACCTGTCTCCCCACTGCCCGCAGAAGACGACGTCCATTTCCCCACAGCTCCCCCAGAACACTCTCCTTGGAGCCCAGGCTCCATCACGGCCCCATCATGGCCATCTCAGAGGCCCACTCCACCCGGCTCCCGCCTTTGAAGCTGAGCACTCATGGTCCTGCTCACTAGGCAAAGGTTATGTGCTGCCCTCGTGGGAGGGATGTTTTGAGCTGTGGTTCAACTCTTGGATTAAGACTTAACTTTTTCTGAGTTTTCACCTTGTTTGTGCAAGTAGGTTGGGAACTCCTCGGGGGTGAACAGGAACTGAATCTAATTTATCTTTGTATCCCCTGGCAAGACAGTAGGTGTGCAATCGATGTGCCTGGAGTGATCAATACGGAAACGATTCCATCTCTGGAATCTCTCGTTCAGACCCAAAAAACAGAAGCGAGCAAACAACAACTTCCCTTAGTGGCCTGGTTGAGTACTCCCGTGGGCTGACGGCAGGGCTGGAAAAGAACCCTGCATCTCAAATTAAACCCCCTCTCAAAACCGGAAACGACTCCAAGAAATGCCCCCCGAGTCACAGAGCGTGTTTCCGTAGGACCAGGGAGGCACCGACGGCCGGGTCTTCGCTCTCTCCTCCTCCCTCCCTCCTCTCTCCCTCTCTCCCTCCTTGTCTGTCTCCACATTCCCACCACCACTGCCTTCACTGCCTCGTTCACACCTTGATGTAACTAAGGAGTATTGCCAACATGTATGGAGCACCAACTGTATGCCTGATATTGTGCTGTTTCCCATGTGCTCCTCACCAGATCCTGACCCCAGCCTTCGGAGATGGGTTCCATTCCCACCTAAAAGGAAATAGTGATGGAGTCATTGCTCAGTGTTACTTAGGGCGGAGATGGTGCAACTTGCTCCCCTCCTGATCTCATTCTGAAAGCCCCTACTTTACAAATAGTCAACGGCAAGGTCGAGTCTTCCTCCTGGTGGAGGAGGGAAGGCACGCAGACCGCATGGACCTGTCTCCATCTTCGTAGAGTCCGGGAGGCAGAACACAACGCTCCATCATTGTTATCTCAGAGACGACAAGGAGGCCAAAACCACCCCCTGACACCCAGGGACAGGCCAGCGATTCGTTTAGGGAGCACAGCATGTCCATATCTGAGTCACACCAGGAGGCGTGAGTGACACAAGCATGTAACATTACAGAAACTTGCTACTGACCACAGAACATGCATCATCCACACAGCAAGTGTTCACTGAGCATCTGCTAAATTCCAGGATCTGTGCTGGGGTCAAGGGGTAAAACATCATCAGTACTGGGCCCTCAGGCCCTCACTACCTGGTGAGAAGTTGTTCAGTTCAGTTGCTCTATCGTGTCTGACTCTCTGTGACCCCATGGACTGCAGCACGCCAGGCCTCCCTGTCTATCACCATCTCCTGGAGTTGACCCAAATTCATGTCCACCAAGTTGGTGATGCCATCCAGCCATCTCATCCTCTGTCGTCCCCTTCTCCTTCTGCCCTCAATCTTTCCCAGCATCAGGGTCTTTTCCAAGGAGTCAGCTCTTTGCATCAGGTGGCCACAGTATTGGATTTTCAGCTTCAGCGTCAGTCCTTCTAATGAATATTCAGGACTGATTTGCTTCAGGATGGACTGGTTGGATCTCCTTGCAGTCCAAGGGACTCAAGAGTCTTCTCCAACACCACAGTTCAAAAGCATCAATTCTTTGGCACTCAGCTTTCTTTATAGTCCAACTCTCACATCCATACAGGACTACTGGAAAAACCATAGCTTTGACTAGACGGACCTGTGTCCACACAATTACAGAGGGGAATCTGGGAGTGAGCAGGGTCCATGAAAGCCCTGGGGAGGAAGAAATCGGCTGTGCCAGGAGGTTCAGGGGCCTCTCCTGCAGCCCCCAGAGTACTGCTCCCTGTCCTCACAGAGCTTCACACACGTTCACATCTGACCCCCTGACCTCCTCCCCACCCTCTCTCCTGACCCTGAAAGATTCCACCGCGCTCTCCAAAGAAGGGCAGAGTGACTGACAGCTCACTTTAGAAGATCTAGGCGCTCCCATGGAGATGGGGTGGCAGCTCTGAGTCTCCTGGAGAGAGCACAGGTGGGGAGGGAGAAGGGGAAAGGGAGGAGGGAGGAGTGGGCATGGGAGAGAGAACGTGAAGCTGGCCACACACCTAGGTGCACCTTAAACTCACTCCCTCTTTTTTCCTCTCTCTCTGGATCCCCAGAGTGTGTAATCTCTGGCCACTGCTGGAAACAACCCCAAAATCCTGAATGCATTAAATACATGCAAATACACACGCACATGTCTATATATACATACACACACATACACATTTATCAGAGCCTCCTGCTTCCCCACTAAGCTCAGTGCCCCTCATCCTGTCCTTCTCTCTATGAACACCCCCAAGTGGTCCAAACCCCACCTGGAGGTGGTTTGGGATCTTAGCTGGCTTTAAGCCATCTGAATCCCATCAGCAGGCTTGCCCAGCCCCTTGCCTATGAAGCCATTATGGGAGAGGTTAATTCAGCACAGTCAAGCTGGTGATGATGGAGACAGAATGAATCAATCAAAATATTCATTTATATTTGATGAAGAAGAACCTTAAATGAATGAGCAAATGAACCTTTACTGAGGCCCTCCTAGATACCAGGGCTCATGCCAGGAATGTTTAATAAGAGTATTAGTTATTTTAATCCTCACACTCACTTTATGATGTAGGATTATTATCTTCATTTCGATGGCAAATATTCTGAGGGTCAGAGTGATTAAGTTTCTTTTCCAAGATAACAACAACAACAAAAAAATGCTATTCAGTGGTCAAAATGGAATTTAGTGGATTCTCCATTGTTCCACACGCGTGTATGTATACTAAGTCGCTTCTGTTGTGTCCAACTCTTTGTGACCCTGTGGACTGTAGCCCACCAGGCTCCTCTGTCCATGGGATTCTCCAGGAAAGAATATACTGGATTGTCATGGGTTGTGGCCATTGTGGGTTGTCATGCCCTCCTCCAGGGGATCTTTCTGATCCAGGGATTGAGCCCACATCCCTTATGTCTCCTGCATTGATGGGTGGGTTCTTTACCACTAGCGCCAACTGGGAAGCTTGTCCATTGTTCCACATCAGGCACCAAAACTGTGTGCTCCGTCAGATGGTGGGTGCATGGCGGAAGTGTAAAAAATGAAAGATGTAGACTTGTATTTGGAGAGCTCATGGATTAGTGGAGTGGGATAAAATGCCCCTCAGATACGATGGGAGTCGGAGGGCAAGCACTCCCATCCCCAGCAGAATGCATCATGCTGCACGTGATGGGAATTCAGGAGAGCTGAGGTCCTGCCCAGGGCCCAGCAAATGCCACGTGAAAGCATAGAGCTCTGAGCTCAGAACACGGTAGCTTATTAACAAGCACTGGGTTGGTCTGGTACAGGTCTAGGTGGATCAATGGAGAAGCAAAAGAGAAAGTCCCCAGATGGGGCCATGGGTCAAAATATTGGGTTGGCCAAAACGTTCATTTGGGCTTTTCCATAAGATGTCTCCAAACAAATGTGTTGGTCAGCCCAATAGTTCACATTTTTGATAAAAACAGCATTTCAAAGTTAGTGGACATAGCAGGACTTTTTGTCAATAACTAGTTTAGGGACAACTGACTAGCAATTTGCTGAAAAGAAAGACTTTATTCTGGCTTTGTACAGTGCATGAAAATAAATTCCCAAAGAATTAAGGATTCACATGAAAATAAACCCTAAAAGAACTAGGAGAAAATGTGGGTGAATATCTCATCTTAGAGGAGGGATTTTCCTAATTATATTTGCAAAGGAAGTTTTACAAATAAAAGATCAGATAGATTCAGCTCCATAAAAAATTTTAAATGCCAATATGTCAAATCAAATACCATTAAAGTTTAAATAATGTACAACAAGCCAGGGAAAACATATGGAACAAATGTGAGAGACAGAGGTTAGTATTCTTAAGCTAGAGGATGCACTTACAATCAATAAAAAAAGAAAACCAATTTTTAAAAACATTGTCAAAGGATATCAGTGGCATAATTCCTAATTGAGAAATGCAAATGGCCAGCAAGCTTATGAAAAAATGTTCAAATTCAGTGAAAGTGATAAATTGTAAGAGTGAGTGGCTTTTGAAATTTTTCATTTTATTTTTTGTTAAAAAAAGGAAGCATATTTACATGGTTCCCAAATCAAAAAGCAAAGAATGCAATCAACAGTCTTCCCACTCTGTACCCCATTGCCCTAGGTCTCACCACACCCTAAACAGGCAACCACTGCTACAGATATCTGCGTACCCTTCCAGAGTTTATATACATATACACAAATATGCATAATTATTTATTTTCTTCTCTTTTAAACAAAATGTAACATTATATATAATGTTTAGCTCCTGGAGAATTATATATAATGATATATATAATATATACATTATATTATATATTATATAATTATATATAATATATATTAATTATATATATAATTGTATATAATTGTATATAATTAATATATAATATATTAATGTATATAATAATTTATATTATGATATATTATAATAACTATATGTATGTTATATATTATATATCATATATATGTTATATATTATATATATGTTATATATTATATATCATATAGTGTATTATATATAATATGTTATAATAATATAAATATAATATACAGTATATTATATTTATATTATTATATATTATAATAATATATCATTATATATATTGATAGCTCCTGGAGAATTATATATAACATTATATAGAATATTATATATAATAGTACAGTTTCACACCTAGCATCTTCCTTTTAATGATATATGCTAGACAACTTCTTATATGGGTATTTAATATACTAAGGACTTCTTTATATAGCGTTACATGGTTTTTATTGTATAGATGTACAATAATTTACTTAGGTGGTTTCCAGTCTTCTACTCTTGCAAACAATGCTGTAATGAATAGCCTTGAACACATATCATTTCCCAAATATGCCAGGGTACCTGCAGAATGAATTCCAAGAAGTGAAGTTACAGGGACCAAGGATATATGCATTTTTAATTCAGAAAATGTTGCCAAATGGCCTTCTGTAAGGGTTTTATCCATTTAGACACCCAGGTAAAATACCCAAGTGTGTCTGTTTCTCCACAGCCTTGCCAATGGAGTGTGATATCAAGCTTCTGGAACTTACTAAATGGACGAGTAAAAAGCAGTATCTCAGGATAGTTTCTATTTGCATTTCTCCTGTGAGTCTGGGCATCATTCCATATAATAAATAACCATTTTATCTCCTTTCCTACGAAAGGTATGTTTATGTTCCTCAAATCGTTTCCATTTTATTCTTTATAAGATAATATCTAGGGAGTATCAGAGCACAAAGACTCAGACACACACTACAGATTGGGGGGGTGGAAATTGATAAAAAGTCTTTTTTAGAGGTCATTTGGCACATATGGGGCTTCCCTGATACCTCAGCTGGTAAAGAATCCGCCTTCAATGTGGGAGACCTGGGTTTGATCCCTGGCTTGGGTAGATTCCCCTGGAGGAGGCAAAGGCTACCCACTCCAGTGTTCTGGCCTTGGAGAATTCCATGGACTGTATAGTCCATGGGATCACAAAGAGTCGGACACGACTGAGCGAATTTTACTCACTCGGTACATGTGCCAAAATCCGTAAAAGGGAAATATTCTTTGACTCAGCAACTCCATTTGCAGAAATTTATCATAAAGAAATAAGCATAAGTGTGGAAAGATGTGCACGAGAAAGGATGTCCTTCCAAGCATTGTTTGTGTTAGAAAACTAGAATCTGCCCCGCTCTGGATTCTCCTGGGTGCTAACTTATCTTCCTCTCTGTGTCTTTTTGCTTTTATCTTTAACCTGGCTTTTCTGATGCCTGATAATGTCAATCACTGATTGTTGCTGCCAAATGGCTGTCCCAATGTGGAGCTTCCCCTCCCAGGGATCAAACCCAGGTCTCCTGCATTGCAGGCAGATTCTTTACCCTCTGAGCCACCAGGGAAGCCCAGGGATACTGGAATAGCCTATCCCTTCTCTAGGGAATCTTCCCGATCCAGTCATTGAACCAAGGTATTCTGCACTGCAGGTTTTTACGAGCTGAGCTACTAGGG